AAACCTAACCTAAACATTGAGAAACCAGTTTTTTGATTTCTATCAAAATCAAACAACAAATAAAGTTCCTGGTAAATAGTAAATAATTTATCTCGCAAAATAACAAAAATAAATCATTCAATTGGAAATAAATTAATTCAATTTTTATATGAATAATACACAATGGTATGAAACAATACGAATAAATTAATTCAATTTTTATATTTAATAATTTTATATTTAATCATTTCACAAATGGATCATTTCTGAAATGAAAAGTAATTTTAAAGTAACGTTATTTGAGAATCTTTCGAAACACCCAATCCTCCTATAGATTACATAGATTTCTAGATCATATAGATCCAATGTTGATGTTGCATATTTTCCACAAGTAAAAAAAATGCAATGCACGTTGAAACTATTTTCCTTTCTGTTTGACACTGGAATTGAATACGTGCTTTTGTTCATTTCAACATTTTCTCGAGCAATTGAACAATATCAATAACCTTGGTGAAAACGGACTTTTAGCCACGAATGTTGAAAAAAAAAAAAAGAAAACAAAAAGAAACATCTTTTGAAAAATAAAAGTGTAAAACCATACGTTCCTGATAGAAATGTATACATATACACGTTTGAGGGAAAAATTTGCGTGTTTCAGTTTCCGCTAGGAAGACTGAAAAGAGCAGCAACGGAGTTTCTGTTTCAAGCGCGAAAACCCCTTTTTTGCGATTCGCGGTTGCAGGCACACTGCGGCGTCAAAGAGAGCCGCGCTTCGCCCCAGTACAACTAGATACGACTTGCAGATGAAAAAGAAAAGTCAAAAGAAAAATGCGTGCGCGCGCCGTCACAGTTTTAACACGTTCGAGACGGAGCTGAACGTGCGTAGGTTTTACGGTTATATAAATTATAGCTTTTTTACGTGTACTCTTAATATTAATAAAAATCAAGTGTATTTATCCGATTCGATGAAGCGTCCACTAAAGTGTTTGACACTTAAACGAACATTGCAGGCGTCGGTCCCGCGGGACCGACGCCGGCCAAACGAGCACGAGCGTGTCGGTCCGCTGGGACCGACGCCGTCTCGAACGTGTTAGTACCAAGAGACCGGATACAAACGAAGTGGCGCACAATGTGAATCATAATACACCGCGTGTCTGTCCCGTTACAATTCGATCCATAAGCGCGCGTGGAATATAAATTAAATAGCTGGTCCGTGTCCATTAAGGAACGTGCGTAAGGTCAAGGCGGAAACGAGCGAGATCGCCTCGCATGTGCGTCAGTTTTCTCCACTCGTCGGGCTCGTGTTTCCCCGATATCAATTCCGCTGATAATACACGACGCGTGCGTGTATGCATTCGTTTTTTATTTGTCCGCACGTGCCATGTAATACGGTGGTAGTCCACACGTAACTGACCAACAGTCGGTACTGAAACTGATCAGTTAACACGACGTTCCGTGCCACGTGTACCACCGATGGTTCACGTTAAACTTTCCATTCAGGCTGGCATATTTATTTAATGCGTTAAAAACGTATATTTTATAACATGTTTAAAACTGTAGAATACATTTCCACCAAAAGAATGAGGCATTATAAAAAATGCAGTATAGAACAAAGCACATAAGTTTGTTTAATTGTTATATGTACAATAATTAATAATTACATATAATGATACACTTTGTTAAAGCAAGGAATGCATAAGAAGGGCTTGCCGGACAATCGCTGCAAAACGTCACTACTCTTATAGTATTTTGTCTTGCTACTTCAGTACCGAATTCTTTTACATTTTGTTTACAGCAAGAAGTGCTATGAAACATAATAAAAGGAACTTGTTTTCCAACGAAGAAAAAGACAAAAAAACAAAAAAATGTTATCTCCGTATATTTACCTATTGCCTCTTTTGTTAAGTATTTTATTTTCCTCGTTTTTTACTCAACAAATTTGAATAGTTAAAACTAATTGCAGCGCCACGTATACCACGGATGGTACACGATGTGATACAAGCTAACTACTCTATACAAGCTAATTACTTATGGATTAATAATGTAATGAAATATTGTATGGCAATATATAATCAAACGGCCTGAATGAAAAGTCGAGCAAAAACAACTCGGCACGAAACATGTTAACTGGGGAAGTGTATTTCAGGAATTGGCAGTGAAAAAAAGAGTGGGGATGGGCTTGTTTTGAGTGAGCGAGTGTCATGTTTTACCGCACGGTAAGGTAGCGTAGAGTGGGGATAGTCCCAATTGCAAGGATTGGTGGGGATAAAGGCTGATCAGTTACGAGATCCAAAGTGTGGTCAGTTACGTGAGGATTACTCTAATATCTCGGATAGTTTCTC